CGTTGGTGGGGGAATGGGGATGCTCCTGCCCGGCCAGTCCCGAGGGGTGGGAAGGATGCGGCCCCCGCATGTCCCCGTTGTCCCCGCAGGGGCTGGAGGGCGGCCAAGACTCTGCCACCCACTCGGCTCGGCCGGACTCTGCCCTGTCCCTCCCCTTGGCTCGGCTCCCAGCCGCCCGCAGGGGACGGGGACGAGGACGGACATGGCTGCCCCCAGCCAGCCCCAGCAGGCCACCTACGACGCCATCGTCATTGGGGCTGGCATCCAGGGCTCCTTCGCCGCCTACCACCTAGCCCAGCGCCGCAGGGACACCCTCCTGCTGGAGCAGGTACCGGTGTCCCCAGCCCTGCCGTGTCCCCAGCCCTGCCGTGTCCCCATACCACCGTGTCCCCAGCCCCGATGCGCTGGGGTGGGCACCCGCAGACCTGGCTGCCCTCTGCCACGGCATGGAGCGGAGCTGCTGCCGGCACCCCTGGTCCCCAGTGCCAGCACCCCTGTGTCCCTGGTGCCAGCACCCCTCTGTCACCAGCACCAGGACCCCTGTGTCTCCAGGGCTGGCCCCCTTGTGTCCCCAGTGCCAGGACCCCCATATCCCCAGCACCAGGACCCCTGTGACCTCAGTGTCAGCACTCCCATGTCCCCGGTGCCAGCACCCTTGTGTCCCCAGTGCCAGGATCACTGTGTCCCCAGTGACAGGACCCCCGTGTCCCCAGTGCCAGCACCCCCGTGACCCTAGTGCCAGCACTCCCATGTCCCCAGCACCAGGACCCCCGTGTGCTCCAGTGCCAGGACCCCTGCGTCTCCAGGGCTGGCACCCCTGTGTCCCCAATGCCAGGACCCCCATATCCCCAGCACCAGGACCCCTGTGACCCCAGTGCCAGCACTCCCATGTCCCCAGTGCCAGGACCCCCGTGTCCTGCTGTTCCCCAGCACCACCGTTGGCAGGGCAGGCTGTGTCCCAAAGAGCCCGCTGCGGCGCAGCACTGGTGCACGTGGGGCCGGCGGGGTTGGGGGGTGGCAGTGGCCGCGGTCGCCCCCACATACCCCCCCCGCCCCG